TATCAATGAACGTGGTCAGAGAGCGAGTTTTTAGTCGCATGAGCTAATTGTGGAATATTTTGAAAGACTTCAGTCAAGAACAGTGTTAAGCTCCATAATACCAGTAAGACTTCACTCTGTCCTAATTTTCCACTCAGCGCAACAACTTGCCTAAGAGCAAATATAACAAGTAAGACATCAATGACCGCTTGAAAGGGCATGGCATAGACTCGATGAGTTAGTCGACTTTTTTTGAGGAATGTTCTCCCTCACATTCTTCAGTTGAGGACCTTGTCGTGCTCGTTGTGGGTCCAGAGGCTTTTAACTTGACACTCGGACCACTCCCACAGATTTTCATTGGGGCTCAGATCTGGGGATCGCAACGGCCACGGTAGCAGAGCAACGGAATCATTTGATGAGCAGCTTCGATTTGTGCTTCGGGTCATAGTCCTGCTGGAAAATTAAAACACCGAGGCCAGTACTGCGAACAAACGGATAGATAATAACCTCTATAATGTTGGTGCATATCTTGGAATCCACCTTACCCTCAATACTTCAGAGGGGGCACCCATAGAAGCTGCCATAAACCATCACCGCACCCCCGCCATACTTCACGGTCGTCAGCTGGTAACTTGCATGGCATCCGGTACCGACTGGATGTCATACAAGCTCGATTTCATCCTTGCCGGACAGCAAAAACTTGGATTTGTCACTTTAGATGGCCTTACGCCACTGCTGGATTACGCAGTTTTTGTGACCATGAGCCCAATCGAGAAGCGCTTTGCGATTTTTGACAGAAATCAGCGGCTTCTTTGCTGGACGACATCCAAACAGACCGGCCTCTCTCAAAAAACGTGGAACAGTTTTTACGGATGGATTGGTCTGACGGGCGTTGAGATTTCGCAAAAAAATTTGGCGTGAGCCACTTCTTGCACGCTGCATCATTTTTATGTCGACAAAACAGCGTCAGCCAACTGAATACTCTTTCTGATTGAACAAATACTTTCTACGAAATCATTGACATGAAAATGCGCCGTAGATTTGTGAAATAAATTACACATGAAGGTAACAACAAAGACGACTATGATAATGTCTTCATTCGGGTAGTTTTCTCATCCATAATCCTTAAGAGTAACAAGATGCGTGTTGCACTGACCAACATGTGTATTTATTCTACCTCGGATAAGGCGCAATAAACGATAATTTTATTAATACTACGTAACGATATACAGGGTGTCCCAAAATTATTGGCGCCGACGTTCAGAAATCTCCAAGGTAGAAATAACCTATCAAATTCGCATAACTGTTATTAGTTAGTTGCATAAGAAGGTTACCTTACAATATGCATGGCTACTGATGTGGAATTCCCAATATCTTTTAGATGGAGGAGGCTCATTCAATGCCACATGCAATCATTGACACGCGAGAGGTGGAAGGGCATTACGAAATTCGTTGGGATTTTTGTAATAACCGTATAGGAGGCTATTAAACGATATAGAAAAGAAGATTGAGTCAGAGACAAACCAGGAAAGGTAGAGAGGTAGAATGTTTCTGAAGATAGGGCTATTAAAACGGTCCGTCTGCCAATCGGTCGGGATTCTGGGTGACCCATCAAAAGGAAGTCAACGGGCACGGGAATGGTCATCCTATTTACCAGAACTTGACTCACTTGACCCCACGACCGGTCCCTGGTTAGAAGAGGACCTGTAGAGTTTGCAATCCCAGTCTGGAGTCCTAGAATGCAAGGGCTGAAGAGTGGCTGGGAAGAAATGGAGAAGGATACCTGCGTGCCACTTGCGATCAAGTCGAGAGCAAACTTTGACTTCTATCCGCGCTCATGGGGGATATTTTGAAATGCGACTTCAGCATGTTGTAGCTTATAGTGTTGGCTAACGTGCATAGAGATTCCATCTCTTTCGCAGCTGAGGAGTTTGAAATATGTTGCTATAAATCGGCGCCAATAATTTTGGGACACTCTGTAGTTCTGCTAAAATCTGGGACATAGGAAACCTTAAACCACAAGAACATTTCTCGAGCTAACATTTCACAAACATCATAACCCTACTGTAAAAATTATTCAACTGCCCGCTAAGTACGGTGCTGAGATTTTACTGATACATGGTGTTAGGGTGTTAGGAAAATTTTCGAGAGAATTTCGCAAGGTTTTTCGAAATTGAGAGATTTGTTTCGACGAAGCGCAACGAAGATCAACGTTCCTCCAATACCGACATTGTTCTTCTGCTCGGGCGAGTATTTATACCAGGAGATAATACCTGAGGGTGCTACCGTGATTGCAAGAGTTTTTCTGCGAACAACTGGAATAGATGGCGTGTCGAGTTCCCAATTCATATCAGTATCAAGGAGAGTTCCTGTTCTGCCGGACAACGCTCGATCACGCCAAGCGAGAACGAGACGAAGCTTGAAAGACTTGATATGGCTAACCAACCTTTCATGTTCGTCTGACCTTAGCCCTTGTCACTACCATTCTTTCAAAAGTCTTTAGGCTCACACCAAAGGAAAAAATCATCATTCGTCAGTTAGCCAAGTGCTCAGTAGAAGAATGAATAGCGTCGAGCCCGGCTCTTTTCTGGAAGGATGACATCAGTGCTCATCCCATATACGGTGAGGCGTTGTGGCTAAGGATAACCACTCTCTTGACCACTAATCTTGCATTATAGCTGTAATTATTTTGTGGTTTCCGAACACCTCATTACTATTTGTAAGAACCTGCATTCAAGTAAGCTTTGAAAAACCTGCGCGATGAAGCCATTCTATGTAACTGCGCCTATTTCGAACAAAAACAACAACCAAGACTTTCAAGCGGTTTACACGAAATTCTGAACGAGCACGAAACAGAATTCGGTACGTGCAAATTGTGAAGGGTTCACATTATGGCTCTGGTTGAAGAACGTCTGTAATATTTTCAAGTGGAGAGGGCAGTATTTCTCTTACAACGGAAGACTTCCTATGGATCAATGGCTAACACCAGCTCCAACTATCTTTTTTTGTGAGCGGAATTTAAGGACCACCTAGTTTAGATCAATTCTTTGGACGCACATTTGACTATAACAAAGAGAACACCAAATTCCTCTTGCTTCTCCATGTAGTCCTCAGTATGCGTAGCTGTTACTCTTGTATTTGCCTACTGTCAGCTGGGAGACCGCATACCTTGTGCAACTTCTTCCTCGAACTAAAGTTCGGGATCGTCCTATGCTGGAGGTAGCGTTGTAGGAAGTAGGTGGTCTACTTAGCTACGACGAGCCTCTGTCGCAGTGCGACCAATTATTAACATTTATCCCCGCCCACCTCAGTAACACCAGAAGGTTCCTCGACCAACTGCGAGAGAATCTCTTCAAGAGATATCACGTCATAGAATCATCTGACGTGACCTCTCTCTACACAAACGTGTCGAACGGTAACGCCATGCAGGCCACCTACGAGCTTCTGAATGTACATGAGGAGTTTATAAATATGTATGACCTCTCTGTCTCCCAGGTCATAACTTTGGTCAAGGAATGCCTTGACTGCTCCATATTCAGGTGGTCCGGTCAGTAGTTCAGACAAGTCAGGGGATTAGCCAGGGGCCAGCGGCTGGAACCAGTGCTAGCCATTGTCTACATGTCAAAAATGGAAAGGCCCGCTTTGGATCGCTGGTCTGTGCTCTATTGCCGTTATGTAGATGACTGCTTTGTCGCCGACTCAACTTATTGTTAGAAGGAAATTGACACGTGTCTTGAGGTGCTGAACACCCGAGCTGAAAATATCAGATTCACACGAGAAAAGCCCAAAGACACATGGCTGCCTTTCCTCAATATGCAATTTCAGCTTGAACGGAGGTTTCTTAGGAGCAAATGGTATAGGAAACCCTCCAGCAAGGATATTGTGGTCCATTTTAGGTCAGCGCATTTTCTCAAGTCACAGCGAGCATGTTTAGGAGAGCAAAAATGGTCTCATCAATGGTCGCGTGGTGGCAGAATCGGTTGAGCTCGCTCAAGAGGTGACATCACTAATGGGTATCCTTTGAGGGAACATTGCCTTCGCAGCCCGTCAAAATCGTTTGTATAACCGTCTTTCCATAACCCCCCCCCCCCCCCCACCATTGTGTCTTCTGTCCCAACGGGCGAGAGGGGAGCTAGATGGCGTTAGGGTTGATCTATTTGATCACTCGCGAGCACTGGGGGGACGAAACAGGTGAGACCGGGCGGCCTTTAATATGTAGGATCGAGGAACACCTAGCTGGTGTGAGGAATTCAAGGCCTGAAACATCCCTCTGAGACCATCGTAGGCAATGCCACGAAGGCGTAAAGTTTGAAGACTCAGTCAGGATTTTGATGCGAGAGTCCACGACTTCCGCGCGCAAAACTTTGGAAGAGATGAGGTGAGGTTCACATGAATTCAGCACAGTATCAATAGACTTCCCTTTTCGTAACCCGTCCCTCACTCATGTCAACATGCGCCCACGTGACGTTTTGCAACCCTCATGGTGCATACACTTTCCGCGGGCATACAAACAGACACACTAAATTACCGCTTCATATATAGGGAGATATTTCACCTCAGTTTCTTATTTTAAAGTTGATCCTTTGGATCCTTAGTAGCATAATAATATTAGAGTCGAGACTGGGTCCCGCATGGAAGAATTCCATGTACATGATCTTTAGAGAAGTGAAGGAGCGAGGGGCCGTATTCTTTGTTTTATGATTTTATTGTTTCAAGCGGGGTGCTGGCCTCTCGTCGATGTTGCTCCACACTTGGCACTTGGTATAGGTATCGTGGTGACCCTTACCTCATTTTTGGCTCGTTGTAGCCGATTTTTTGAAAATTAGTCGCCTACTAAGGGTTTGACAGATATCCTGCGCGCTTTCTGCCACTCGAAAGCGCGCGAGTTCCTACCATCAGCTTCATAGTCTCGTTACTTTTAATCTTTGGTGATCCTTGTTTCAGACCCCGTAACGCACGAAGGTCACAAGTTCGTTTCCGAAATACGCGTTAGTTCGCCGACTCTCCTTTGGTTCAGCAGACTATTGGCGGTCTTATTTTCAGCCGATGCCGTCTGCAATCTTTCCGGTTTCGGATTTAGTGGTTATGATGACCGCGGAAATGCCAAGTGGGAGCTATGTACGAATGTCAGGCCGTACCAAGTTGAGGTTAGTGCATAAATGTTGTTCCAAAATAAGCATCAGGAGAACTGCATATGGAAGAGGGGGGGGGGGGGGAGGAGTGACACTTCCTGGCATTTGTTTTTCGCAGTATTGCCGTATATCAGTGGTTACAATTTGTGGCAACAAGGGTATTGCCTTATATTGTTCTTTCTTTCACTTGGCTCTTTGTCTCAGAAAAAGTTCACTTTGTCTGTTTTGTCAAATGATACAGCCACTGACCAAATCTACTTATTCAGCAGTTAAATGACGACAAAGAGTGGACGTTGCATTATTAGTGATTAGTTGAGCCCCCATTCCTTCAAATTACCTCAAGAATACGATTGTCTAAGCTAAAGAAAAGGCTATCAATGAGTTCCCGGTCAAGTTAGTGCTCCAACGTTGGCGATTGCTCTCTCCAGCTCACGGATACTTCCAACTGCTTGTTTCCTTCATACATCTTCCTCATCATGAATCGCATTACGTTTTCCATTAGATTCAAGTCCAGGCTGTCAAACAGCCGGGGCAAAAAGTCGATTTGGTGCGACTAAACCGGGCCTGAGTGCTACGGCTGACGGGAATCGAAGTCAAATCGAGCTGATTGTGACACCAAAAAGGAAGGAGAGCACGGAAGAGCTGAGCTTCTCCGGAACAAACCATAAATGAAGACGTTAACGAGAAGTTGCCACCCTTGTCAAGTAAACTGGAAATCCTAGATTGAGCCACCTGTGGGTAGTAGTGATCACAACAGTAATTCATTTTGTGTGATAAGCGAATACTGTGAGCCGCATTCTACGGTTTGCAGGGTTTTCTTTGATTGTGATTTTGTGGGACTGAATGCGTACCTTTAGTCGGTTGCTTGGAGGGATTCCTTCTAGAATGCTAGTTCTGTTATTGATAAATATGAAATGTTCCTCAGTCTTTTGCAACATGCTATTGAATTATATGTTTCTCTTAAGCGGGTTTATAGATCCAGTGCTCATTTCTATCATATCTACAAAATACGATTCATCATCGGAGTTGTTTATTCTATGCTGCTAAAGCTTCCCAGGATATTCGGGATTGGAATAGATTTCACTCGTATTCACGAAAGTTTGATTATCTTCTAAAGAAATACAACGTCCATTGTAAGAAGGTTCTTAATGGTAAGAATAAAAAGGGATTCTATGAGCCATTAAATAGGAAGCTGGGATCTGTTTGCAAAACCCCTTGTTTGAAGTATGACGGGAATGTGGCAGTTTCAGATGAGGATGAAGCCAATCTGTCAGCGGACAAATTTTGATAGGTGTTCTCTAACTCCCATGATTCACTGTCCGTTTTAACTCCCGTTGTCGTTGTCCTACGGTTGATTTCCCTTGGGCAGATGCTACGAAAATTTTTAAGCTCTTTAACACGTTGGCGACCGTGCGTCCCAGGACACACGTTTTTGGCTCGCTGGGTATCTATATTATTTGTCAGGTGTTCCTATAATTTTTTCATGTTTTCATGTATCAGCTGAGTTCACAGCCTTCTAGAGAATGTTGAAGCATTGCGGTCCAGGAATCGTTCATTTCAAACTACAGATATTAGAGGAAATAAAGGTTATTGTAAGGACAATATAAAAGCGATCGCCAATGGGTTAATCGATTGCCAGACTCTCTTTCTCTAACACTTGATGTCGTCCCACCCATGTTTATGAAGAAGATTGCTCATGTTGTAGCGGAAACACTAGCCTACATTTTCAACCTCTCACTATGCTTCAGCCGGGTACCAGTTAGATGGGAACACCCTTGTGTGACACCGCCTTTGAAGAAGGAGCTTCGTATTCCGTTGTGTCTGTTAGTAAAACCTCATTTATTTGTAGACTGTTCGAGAATGTCCTTAAGAAGCATATAATGAGTCACTTGAAGATGAATGGAATAATACCCAGTCAGTACGGATTTGTTCCCGGTAGATCGGTTGAAACGAATCTTCTTGAATGTATCAATGACTGGAGTATTTACCTCGACGAAACAAAAGCTTGTGATGTAGTTTATTTCAACTTTTCAAAGCGTTTGAATAGGTGAATCATGCTAAACTTTTGTATATATTGGGTCAGCTTAAATTTCATCTTTTAGTTCATCGTTGGTTGGAGAACTTTCTCTCTTCGAGGACGTTTCAAGTCTGAATTGAGTCCTTTTCTGAGGTCGTGCATGTTGAAGTGGAGTGCCCCGAGTTGGTTATTATCACCTATTCTTTTTTCTATGTATACTCAGGAGGTCCCAGGTTAATAGAAGAATGTGGTGCTGTTTGCGAGCAATTAGCAGATAACATCAAGGGCTATAGAAAGTTAAAATTGGAAATCAGTGATCCAACAGAAAGGATTCAAAAGGCTTTGGACCCTATTTTCGTTTGGTCATGCAAATGGAATTTACCCCTTGCACCGTAGAAAACTGTTTACATGAAAATTGGTGCTTCCTCTAGAATTCCGAATACCTATTGTCTTGATGATCATGTTCTTACTGAGGTCTCTTCCGTTAAAGACCTAGGCTTCCACTTTTACAATAAGCTTAGTTTCTCTGTTCACTCTGCGGTTATTTCTGGAAAGGCTATCTTCCGAACATACCAAGTCTTCAATGGTTTAGCGATTAGTGATAAGGACGTTGTATTGAGAGCTTACAAATCTTATATACGTCCCACAGCTGAATGCGGTACGTCTGTTTTCTGCCCATACAAGATAAAGGATATCCAGGTAATCGAAAAATCCAAGATAATCATAGTCGTAAGCTGATTATTAGCTCTGGTGATGATACTTACGTGAAAGTGCCTCGGGCGAGTTCGGGGATCAAAAGTTTACAATTGCATTGTTTATGTTCTCGTAGGAAGGTTTATGATGTATGTATGGTGTTCAAGTTGCTAACCGGTATTGCTAGGATCGACGCATTCAAATTTTATGCAAAGCTGGATTCTAAAACCAGAGGTGGACTTGTGAAAATTTCATGCGCAACGGCGAAAACCAACGTTAGACCTCGAAAACCAACGTTAGACCTTACAACTTTACTTATCTTATCCTTTCTCAGATCGTGCCAGTAGAACCGGCTTCCATCCAGGCACCACAGTTAAACTTTTCCATCGAAAAAACAACCCGGAGAACAAAACATAAAGAGAACGAAGAGTAAACGACAAGCCATGAAAAGGCTTCTACTCCATTCGATTCGGATACAATTCCTGGCAAGAGCGACTCGGTTACCGCGATGCTTGTCATAAAGAATGCCTTCTTCACTTTCCGTGAGCGATGAAACTCAGACTTTTTTCTATCACGTTCCAAACAGTAATCATTGGGACATTGAGCTTCGAAGAGGACTTGATTTTCGTACATGACCTCGTCGTATTCGATGCTTCTCTCAGAATTGTTCGCTTATGTATATATTTCCAAAGGTAGCAAAAAACATCCCATCTTTTGATTCCATACAAGGTTAGGATTCCTGGCGAGATTGTTGACGAATTAGTGGCACCGGCTCAATCTCGACCGATTTTGTGATTTGACAGTTCCTGTTCCTCTTTTGCAGGAACTTGACCCTCTACAAAATCGGATTGCAACGTTTCTTTGCCTGAAATCGAAAGTTTGACATAAGTTAAGCAATTGTATGAGGTGAAAGTGGAAAACACGGGTGAGGTGGCTGTATGATTTTGCGAAATAGGCGAAGTGACCGTTTCCGGAAAAATGAAGGTAAAATTGTCCCTGTTGTTGGGATGGAACTTGTTACTGGTCTACCAGTTACGGTCCGAGCAGGGCACAATTTCCATATTGAGCTCTTTTCCTGAAGAGCTCTGGAAGGGGAGCTTTGATGAAATTCATGGGTGGCTTTATGATTAAGCAAAGCAGTGCACGTCACCTTCACGATCATGATTTCCGTACCTGCAAGGAAGCCTTACGAGGGAAGGATACTGGGTCGCCGCGGTCGTTCAATGGGATGTATACCCACATAGGGTTTTTATACGCTGATGTCAAATCGACATTCCAAATCTGCGGACGATTTTGGGAACAAAGTTGCGGGAACATTTCTCCCATATGGTAAAGGGTTTTGTCGAGCATATTGAGATCGAATTGTTGAGCCAAATGTGAAGCGATGGCGCAGCAGGTAAGGTGGCACGAAGGTTTGCATCCCGTGTATGTGACCTTGTTTTGCTTTCACATGAATTGCACGGCAGAGGCATCGTCAGTTTCACATCTCCCATCAACTATCTGCAGCCCACCGTAGCCACAAAAAGCATCGAAAACCAGAGTTGTTGTTATTGGTAGTTTCCAATAATACTTGCTCAAACCTTTGAACCTTTGAAACCGGTATACCTTTGAGGGCCGTTGTTAAGCCCTCTGATATCTTGACTGGTTCTGCTGTTTGCTGTTGCCAGAAAGTACTGGAGTGCTTCTCTCTCTTGGTTTGGCATGCCCTATACGATAACGCAAGTATTCCGTTAGGAGCGGAAACAGTGATCCTAGGCAGCCTTATGATAATAGCGAAGTTGGAACTTCTTATCTTGCAAGATCTCAAAGACCTTGTGAGATAAGAAGAAACTTATGAGGGCATTCCAACTCCGCTATCATCAGAACGCTGCCCGGGTTGCCTCTCGCGTCCCATACCCGAAAGAATTTGCCTTTTTCCTTCTATGAAGAGCAAATTGCGCTACATGTTGCCGAATATTATTAGGGGAATTCAATGGAAATCGCAGTAGATTGTATGCTTTCAGGATTTCACTTCCACGGAAACAGTAGTAATTATGGGTGCGATGAGCTAATGTCACGCGTTGTCTTCTCTGTGAAGAAATCAATGCTGTATCGAATGCTCTCATTTTTGATTTGATGTATGGTCTTGAAGTGCACATTGATTATTACATTCTCTTGCTTCACAAATCACGTCATCCCTTGGATAGTGTAAAAGCAATATGGTTCAAAAGTGCTTCAAAGGTTGAGAATCACTTTTATCCAAAATGATGCATCCCGATCTAATAGGCTATTCCAACCCTTTCTTGCCCCAGAGAAAGAAGCACTCCCTGGTTTCTTAATTTAGCATTTGGTCTCTGGTCTGGTATACAGGAGCGTCCCTTTTCGGTTTAGAAAAGGTCAGGACTGCCTTTATTCAGCAATAATATGTATTTTCCTTGTTGCTGGAGAGGGCTGTAGTCTATGAGAGGTGTAAAACTGTTTTGCAACTAAAGCATACATTTCCAGAAATGCAGAAAAAGGTCACCCACACCGGATGCAAACCCTCATGCCACGCCTGCGAGTCTGGAAGCCTGCCTGTTTTCCCATCGATTACTTCTGTCTTGTAACCCGATTTCGATATATGCTCGATAAAACCCTTTATCACATGGAAAAATTGTTCCTGTAACTTTGTTTTCAGGAATACTTCGCAGATTCGGAATGTGGATATAACATCAGCGTCAAGAAACATATGTGACTATAAACCTCATCTTGAATGGCAACTGCGGCTTAGTGTTTAGTATCTTTGCCTTGTTAGTCAACATTAGGAGAGGTGTTCGACATGGCCATGCCATCTCGCTCACCATTCATTGCCACTCCCGAGAAGATGATGCATCATTTGAAATTATAAGATATGGGAGTGACGGCCCATAAGAGCAACGAGAAAGAAAATCTCTGCCACAAGTCGTTACTTCGCAAATGAATGCAAACGAGTAATAGTGGAAGGAAAATTGAGTCGAAAATGTGCATGCAAAAGTTGGATAATTAGCTAATACGTATGAGATCATGTTTTCGGACATAAGGTCCAGTCGCTTAATATACTCGTGGTACCAAATGTGGCGTTCATCGAAATGGTTGCCTTTGTGAAGGTAGTGCAGACTTAACAGCTAAATGATCTTTGAAAAATGTCCAAGTCCACCATTGCCAACATTAATGTTGGTGAGTACCACCCTAATTTGATATGCTTACTCATAACGGTTTCCTCAGTATTTCTTTTATTTTTATTAGTCTTTAGTCTTTATTTTAGTCTTTCGGACCTTCCAATTCCACGCGCGGAAAAAAACCCTGCTTCAGTATCTCGCCGGTAGGCATCACACTAGATTCCGAAACAGAGAGTGATGAAGAATATTTCTGCAAAACGCACGGATTAAGATGGAGAGCTTGCGGCTCAAGTAGCCTCGGCAAAAATGCAATATTGTACGGTTTAGGTAGGAACTAAATCACCTCGAGCATCAGAAGGGAAAACATGGAAGGTCATGAATCATGAAGGCGGTAAAAACAGCATAAAAATCAGTTCGCGTCCTCGAGGACAGAAGCCTCGCAGATTGGAACCACGATACCACCCATGTGAAGCGTCACGCTTACCACTGCTCCAAGCCACTGCTACAAGGGCTGCTACGTACAAGTGTTACGTGTTAGATTACGGGATTGCTCATCTGACACTATGCTCGTAACTTCGCTTAAAGAGTCGTCTGGCAGATTTGGAACGCAGAATCGAATCAGCTCTCGGAAATACGTCCAAAAGTGTAAGTCTTTTCATTTGCCCTTTCGACTTGCGA